GGACATAGCAATAAACCGAGAGGATAATAATCAAAGGAAACTAAATAGAAATGAATGAAGAAGAAAATGCAAGAAGAAACTAAAGTAAATACAGAGGAATAAACTTTTTTCTATTCTTCCCCTTTCATTTTTCCCTCCTTGAAGGATAAGTTCATTTTTGAGACATTGTTTTGCTTACTTAACTTCTGACTGGAGCTTTGGACATTTGGATGCTCTGCTTATTGCACAGCAGCTCATGTTACTGTCGATGCGTGCGGCACCTACCGTGGCCACCAGGGGCCGCCAAGAGCAATTTTTTTTCTTTTTGTCAATAAAATAATAATTTCTACATACATTTTAAAATATATATTATTGTAAAGACGAATCACTTCATGTTGAAATTGTGTGTTTTTCATATTATAATGACATAGAAATTATTACTAAAACAAAAAAAATCAGCTGGGCAGCGCATAATTGTTTGTTAATAAAGATAAATCATTCTCACCGATCCCTCAATGTGCACGTCTGAAAGCGCGAGTACAGGTTATTCTTGCGGTTCACATAGAGCTGCGCAACCAGAGCTAACGCAGTGGGTTTTAAACTCTTACCTCAATGTGGAGTTCGCCAAAGAAAAATAATTCCTCACAGGGGGTTGATGTAATATCCATACAGGTCAGTCTGTGTCCAGTTTGAGTGAAAGGAGGTCAAGCAGCGGCAGCGCGGGCTTCAACGCGCAGAGGCGCCAGCAATGTGATTGGTCCCCTCTCCCGGCTTTAAATGCATAAACTATAAACTTATCTTTTAGAAATAAATTTGCTCCGCCAGTGAAATGCTCAGAGCAACAGAGATGCTTGCAATCCGGGTTAAATTAATGACAAAAGAAAAATTTTTATTTATTTATTTTTTGATTATTAATTGCTCTAATAACAAAAACAAGCAACTCCTCCTCCAGGAGGGGAATCCCACAAGCTACAGCGGTAGTTCAGCAGGACCAGACAGAACACTCAGATGAGATTTTTTTTCTCTTTTTTTAGTAGGATAAGATAAATCCTTCTTTCCTTCAGATTCTTCACATGTACCGAATCAGCTGGTTATAGAAGCATGTACCGAATCAGCTGGTTATACAAGCATGTACCGAATCAGCTGGAGGGGACAATCTAGAGCAAAACTGCTCCACAGTCTCTGGGTAGATTGCCTCGACAGCTTTATCAGGAATTTGATTAACCTTCGTCTTTGACATCGTACTCCGCTCAATGCAAAACAACCAGGGCCAGAGTACAATAGGACCAGGCCAGCCCTGCAGTGCAAAAAGGCTTCAAATATAACTTGCATGTAATGTCAGCTGTGATTGATTTTAAGTTTGTTTGTTTGTGTTTTGCTGATTTTGGTTCTAATATACAAACTCTTATTACTGTTAGATTAAGTCTTCCTGGAAGAATTGTTGAAGATGGAACAGAAAAGGCTACGTTTGACATTGATAAAGGTGGGTCGGATCATTATTGAAATAATATGTTTCAGTCATGAAAGTCTTGCAAATTTCTGGTTTGTTCAAAACCTCTCTATTCAGATTATTCCAAAAACCAAACATGAATTGGAACATTTGTTTCATTTTCAGTTCGCTTTCTCACTGCACTATGTCAAATAAACCAAATAAAAAACCTGCTCCCTCCCCTCACCTGTGGTGGTGCTGCACCAAGAACAACAGAAAGAAACAGCACAAAAAACTCTGAAGAAGACACTGAGCTTGACGTCCTTCTTTGCAAAATGGAGTGGTGTCAAATTTTAGTGGTTGTAGGACTTCTCCTTTGTTTTTGGCAAAAGACCACAAATCATTTCTCCTGCTACCAGTAACACACACGTTTGTTTTGGTTGTATTTACCCAGAATACTCTGTGCTATAGTCCAGTGGTCCCCAACCCCTTTATTCCCACGGACCGGTTAAGACTTAGAAAATTTTGCTGCGGCCCAGGGGGGTGGGGCAGGGGGTGAACCGTCAGATAAGGCTTCTGCATGTTGGTGTTCCCGCTAAGTCCTGAATTTGCCCAATTTGTCTTGGCCAT